GAGAGCCCACAATAACTCACGCTGGCCAGGAACAACTCTTTCCGCTTTTATTGTCAATGAAGAAATAATCAAATCTATATTACAATCTTAAAAACAGTAGAAAATGTGAGTAAAAATGCAACGGAGGCTTTTTCTCTTTAATGTGGAGACCATTATTACAGGGTGATGAACAATGGGCTTGTGTTATTTGATTTGAGAACTAGCTGTGGCATAAAAATCGTACCTGGCTACTCAAAACACCTCTTCCCAGATGGATCAGCCTGACACCTTGGCAGTAAAATTAAATACTAGAGACAGAAAGGGGTTGGGGTCCCAACCCAGGACAAGGCCTAATGCTCAGTTCTACCATTTACAAAGGGACCAGCCTCCCAGCGTCACCGCCCTGGCCAGGCCGGCTCCCGCCTGTGACAAGCTGAACCACCGAGTCCCGTCACCGGACAAGGACTGCGCTGCATCCGCAGCCCTGGCCACAGAGGATGCTCCCCAGCTGGGGGGCAGAGGAGGGCACCCTGCGGTGCAGAAGGCGCTGGCACCAGAACGGCTTCCTCTGCGTTTCCAATCATGTACGGCAGATCTGAGGGAACATCTGGAGCATCTGTGGGCCAGAGCCGTCCTGAGAGCTGCCAGCCAGGGTCCTTGCAGGTGGGGGAACCGGCCGATGGGCAGTGGCAGGCAGTGGTCGGTGTGGAGAGGAGCTGCAGCAGTTATTTCGTAGTGGTGTTAGTTACCCAGCAGGCCGACGGAGGGGAGTTTTTGGTCTTTCAGTGTGCAGGACTAGTGTGGCGCTCTCGCTAGCACGTCCAGACCTGCAGAGGAGAGACAACGGGAACCAATGGCAGTGACTGTTCTGAGCAGCTCTGTGGGCTTCTCTTCACCCTCTTGTGGAGCTTCCCTTTGGGCTTCCAGCATCCACAACACCCTCTGTCAAGAATTAAACCTCCCACCCGTTGAGAACCAGCCCCTTGTTTGTTTGAAGAAGGCTCCTAACTCATTTAATGCCCTAGTTCTAGTACTGGAAGAGACCAAACCATCAAGGAGAAGCCTGAGGAAACCAACCTTTACAGTGCTGTCCACGGCGCCGGAGAAGAGGCGGCCCCTGGAGACTGCGAGGGCAGTGACGCTACCCTGGTGTCGCAGCAGCGTCTGAGTACAGATCATGTTGTCCATGCTCCACACCTACAGGCACACAGGAGGCGTGAGACAAGCGAGTGGCACAGGGCTCTGGCACATCCCGAGCACCGGGAGGGGTAGGGATGCTGAGTGCCACAGGGTTCGAGCCAGGTGACACAAATTAAATACGAAGCCATGTGGCATGCAGGGATGAGGATCCCACATCCTCCCTTTCCCTCAAGGCTGACCATTCTTTAACAGTGCCAAATGCACAGGCGCAGCTGCACATCCCTGGACACATACCCTGAGAGACCGGTCATACGATGCACTGAAGACTTTGGTTTGATCCGGTGTGGAGATGACAGCGAGGGCGTAGACCGTACCCACATGCCCGGTCAGCGTGCGGACTTGTTCCTTTGTCTCTATATCCCAGACCTGCGGGAGGAGAGCAGGGCTCAGAGACTGCACTGGGCTGCAGACCACCAACTTCTCCTCCGAGAGGTGTGTCCACCTCCATACACACCTCCAGGCAGAGCTAGGCCCCCCATCTCCTTGCCCCTCTCCCCCAGCCTCAAGCCAACAAATGGATCAAACCCCGCAGTCCTTACATGGATGAGGTTCTCGTAGGTGCCACACACAATGTGGTGGTTTGTCACAGCGATGGAGTAGACGCTGCCTCCTGACGTCTGCAGCACGTGGACACACTCCAAGTTGCGGATGTCCCAGATCTGAAAGAGATGCCGGAGCAAAGGCAGGATGAGACCCATGCAGGGACCCCTCTCCAGGAGGCAGCTCCCTCGAAGCTCTTCTCCAGCCACACATGGAATCAGCCTGGCTCCGTGTGTGCCCAGATCACGTCTTTAAGGACAAATCTGTCCAGCTGGGAATGTTCAGTAGTTCAGTACTAATGAGCAAAGCCCTGCTATCTTATTTACCTGCCCAGCTTTGAACATCCCGGCTGAAAAAGTTGTGGAGATTGCACACACCTTGTGTGTGTGACTATGCACAAACGTGCACACACAACCCAGTCCTTGATAGCACTAAAAACCGATGCAGACAAATTAACAGGGAGCTATTAACACTGAGGAGGGAAACTTCAAATTCTCTTGTGTCACCCAGATGAGAGGTGAACTATTCATCAAAGCCTGAGCCAACACAGATGAAGGCATTTTGGAAACCACACACAGATTTATGGTAACTCTGCAGCCAGACAGTGACCTTCTCTTCTTATCAGTAGGACTGTCAGCGCAGATAACGCTGCGGCAGCTGAGGAGGCAGCATGAGGCACCATGGCTGTGAGGCCGCGTTTTATCTTAGCGAGCATCCCCCAGCAGCTGCGCTCCCAAGGACCAGCCAGAGCCCAGCCTTTGTGCCTGCAAAGATGCAATCAGCGTAGTAAAATCCAGTGTGTCAGCAATGCTACAGCAGTGCTCTCACATCCTAGCAGCTACCTTTTGTCCTGCTCCACCAACCCATGCTGCAGAATACGGATACGTAGAGGCACGGGGAGAGCCGATGCCTTACAGTTGCCACAAGTCTCAGGGTCCCACCTTGATTGTTTGGTAAGATCCGCTGTAGAGATAGTTTTGAGAAGCCACCAGCGCTCGCACCCAGTGATTGAGACCTGTCAGCTCCTTCTTCAGTTTGAGCTCGGTACCTACAATATCCCAGACCTGCGGAAAGCACAAACACACAGACACACACATACATGGAGGAGAGTCTCAGTGGGACTGGGCAGTGATGGGGCAGAACAGGTCAGCCTCTAGCTCGGGGGCCAGGCGCTGCCCACCCTGCCCAGCCAGCCAGCACAAGGCCCTACCAGCTCACTAAGGGGAACCTTGTGCTGGCTCTCCTGCCCCTTGGGAATCACCTGAACCCACTGACTTGCAGATAAAACACACAACAACTATGCTGAGTAGGCACATTCTCTGAGGGCCTGGGAGAGCTCGCTCAGAGCCTGCATTATCACTGGCAGAGACCCTTCCCTAGCAGAGCCATGGGCTTGAAAAACCTAAACCCAATCTACAGTAAAGAACTGCTCTGGACTTCCACTCCCAGCCTGTCCCCACAAAGCTCCAGTCCCACAGCTCCTGGGAAACCCTGGCCGAAACCCCCAGCACGCAGGGATCGACGGATCTCACCCCACCGCTCCAAGCAGCGCTACTGGCCTGCTCGGCTCATCTGGCAGAAAGTGGCTGGGGACAATAAAAACAAAAGGCCCCAAGTTCTCCTTCTGCTTAGTGCTGCCTCACTCTTCTCCAGCCCCGAGCACTCTCGAGATAGCTAAACCACTCCAGGCCCCAGATAAAGAAAAGAGCATGCGCCCTCTTACAGATGGACAGTCCCATAAGCTGTCTCACCAGGAGCTGGAAACGGAACCAAGGGAATCCAGCCAAGGTTTTAAAGGGCAACTTGCAAAGCTGTTCCCGGATTTCTGCATGCTTTAGGTAAAGAATGCAGATTCAAGATCCTTTGGAGGGGGTTTCAAAATGGGCATTCTGAATTCCCAGCCAATTCTGGACCCCAGACACAATTCCCAATGGTCTGAGTAGGTCTGCTGGGGGCCCAAGGAGACCCACTCTCAGGAACTGCCAAGATACTCCACCTGCAGCCTCAGGTTTACAGAGCTGGAAGAAACAAAAGCTGTTTTTTCAGCCAGATCCAGAACATCTTTGACTTTAGCACAAAGCATGGGCTAAACCTCTGCAGTGCTGGCTGCTCTGTGTAGCTGGGCTTCTCTGTGTGGCTCAGGAGAGTGTAGTAACATTTTGGTCACCTACAGACCAAAATGCCACTTTCTTCTTGTTTGGACACTGCTGCTTGACAGTTTGTACCATCGGTCCCCAACCAGACCAAGAGGAGCCACCCCAGAGCTCTACCTTGATGGCTTTGAGAGAGCCGCTGAACAGCATGTTGTGTGAGGAGACCAAAGTGCAAACAGGATTGTCATGTGCTCGGATCGTGTTCACTTTCTGCAGGTTTTGAATATCCCAGACCTGCAAAGGAGAAGAAGAGCGCCCGTGAGGGGCAGGGGCAGGCCCCTTGTGCTGAAGTCCTTCCTCTTTGCCTCTGAAGGCAGGCAACCACACACACGCAAAAACACAGGCAGGATGGGGCACTTGTACGAGCCACTGTCCTGGCTTGATCAGAACTGACCACCCTGCCCCAGCTCAGAGCACTGGCCACCTGCTCCCCATGCAGGAGCGGGGAGTGGGAAATCCAGCCTGCAGGAAACACCCAAATCCAACCCACGAGTCACTTGGCTGAAGGCAGTGGATAAAGCACGTACACGTCATCAGTCTTACACCACTGGCAGCTGAAGAGCCTTATAGAAAAAAGGATGCAGGTCCCTGCTCTACAACAGCCTGGGGCTGGCCTGTAAATCTCGCATCCCAATTGCGAAACAGAGCAGGGGTCCTGGGTACTCACAATAATGGTGCAGTCAGCAGAGCCACTGTACAGCTTGTTCCTGTAATGTCACCAGAAAACAAAAGGAGGTCAGCGAGGGAGAAAGAGTGCAGCGTCCCAGCTCGTTCCCAGGCACCGTGCTGGGAGAGGAGCTGCAGTCCCATAGCCTCACTAGGCCAAGACTAAACACACCAACCCCAGGAGCGGAGCCCAGGTCTCGTGGGGAGGCCAGGCTGGATTGGCCCTTCGAGCACGAGGCCAGGCACCCGCTGGTGACCAGGGAAAGAAGTCAGGACAGCAGGGGAGGCCAAAGAGATATGTGCTTTGTCGATTTTTAAAGAGCAAAGAGGCAAGATGTGCCTCTCATGCACAATCTTGGCATGTGCAGGACTGAGGATGGCAATTGTAAGGGTGTGCTCAGGAGCCCCAGTGCTGTCCCCACTCTCTCCTGCAGGGGCAGGTGTCCCTCTCCACTCACCCCTGGATGCAGAGAGCCAGTACAATTCCATCGTGACCCTCCAAGGTCTTTTGGCACTTGTATGTGGTACAGGTATCCCACACCTAACAGGAAACACAAGTCAGCAGAGGGTCACACACCGGCAGACAGAGCAGCTGGGGACCCGGGCAGGATGTCAGCAAAGCCACAAAAGCAGCGAAACAAGGAAACAGGCTGTCACCTGGGCACCTGCCTTCCGGGCTCCCAGGCAGAGATAAGCTTGTCTAGGAAGGGAAATTTACTGCAAAGGGTCAGGTTGAAGTTAATGAGACACTGGACAGCAGCACACATCAGCCCTCTCCAGCGCTGCCTTTCACAGCCCAGGCCAACACAACACACTGAACCAGGGAAGCAGCTCCCGGGGTCCTGCTTTAGCAATTCACAGCCCGTCCTAGGGCTCCAATGGCACAGCACAGCCTCCTCTGCCACTGCAAAGGTCTTCCCCACTGAGCAACACACCAGTCTCTCAAGAGAGGAAACATGGGAATGTGGTGCCCAGAGCAGCCAGGTCAGGGGAGAAAGCTGTTTTCTTTCAATAAAAACTTTCAATAAAGTACAGCAATGTCCATTTTCTTCCATGTGGCTCTTGCTATTGCTCAAAGAAACTAAACCAAAGCTCTGCTCCTGGCAGGGCTAGTTGCAGCAGCCTGTGTGGTTCCCCAGCCCAGCCAGCAACCACCGGCAGCCAACACGGTGACATTGGGAACTGTTGTTTAGGTTGCACTGGAGCAGTGCTGTCAGTTTGAGTTACTGAAAACAGGACAAAGAAAAACAAACATGCCATAAAACGGAAAAGGACACATTTGATCAGGGGAAAATGTTTTTTTCTAAGATCATTTTTTATAACAAGGGAAAATAAAATCAGAAGCCGAAATAGGCTTGGATGCCCTCAACACCATATAAAGCAAAACCAGGAGCAGAAAAACTAATCAGGGCTTTGCAAAAACCACTATTTGTCCTCGATTTCACTACCATGTAACATTTCCTCACAGAGAATTTTGCCCAACTGTAACTGCAAAGAATAATTTAAGATTCTTTGGGAGAAACTTTGGGAAGTGACATCCCCCCACCCCACAAATTGCAACACAGCTTCTGTCCCACCTGAAGCACATTTACAAATGCAGAAGATACACAGAAGAGGCAAGCTCTTACCTTAATGGTTTTGTCTGAAGAGCCACTAAAGAGCAAGTCTCCTATGGAGTAAACGCACAAACACCAGACAGGACCCTGGTGTCCCACAAAGGTCCCCTTGCACTTGAAGATCTGCTGAGGATCATAGGCTACAGAAGAAACAAGAGGGCAGGTGAGAGGTGAGGAAATGCTGCTGTGCCATGTCACAGTGAGTTTGGAGGAGACAGAGCTCCCTGCACTGCCCGGCAGGTCCTCCTTGCACTTCACGTTGTTGCAGGCCAGAAGGAACCGTGAGACCCTCCCAGTCTGGCTGGAGGGTCTCATGTCTCACCCTTACAGCTCATTGACTTATCACTGCTTTGAGCCCCAGGACTCATTTCCCTAGTGCAACTCCCGGCCTGGACCTAGGGAGGCCAGAGATGCAGAGACCACTTGACATCTCACCCAGCAGCTAATAACCCTGCAGCACTGTGAGTTCCCCTTCAGCCAATGCTTCTGACAAACTCTCCCACCAGTATTTTCTTCCCGCAGCAGCAGTGATCTCGTGAACAAATCATGGCCGCACCCAGAGACAACTGTGTCCATGCCTAAAAGGGCTCACTGGGCCATCAACCCAAACCCAGCCTGAGAGGATGAAAACCACATGCATACTCACATCCAAGGATGCCCATGTTGAGCCGAGCATTAATGTGGGAGAGTTCATCCTGAAAAACAGAACAAGCTGCATGAGCTGCAGAGCCATCAAGACCAGTCTGCCCTTCTGGGCATGGCTTTAACTGTCCCCCTCCACTGCTAAAACCACTCTTGCTTTTGGACAGGTCTTGACTCCCTGTGAAGGCCCTCCCTCAGCAGCTGACTCATTCTCTGATTGGAGGTCTCCTGCTTTAGGACTGCACGCGTACATCCCTCTGTCACCTCCCTCCAGAGACCACGGGGCTCTGACAGCATCTCAGACCTGCACTAAACTCCTCAGTATTCAGGCAGGCACAGAAATACCTTTCAGAATATACTGTCCTTGCTCTGCCATTCACCAGACTGCTAAAAATGATCAAATCGGTTATGGGGACTGCTTGTTCAGCTGGGGTCTTGAAGTCCACCTTGCTGGAGAAGAATTGGAAGGTCTCTGTAGTCTCCTCCACAGCCCAGTCCCTACTGCATCCATGGGGACCCTCTTCATTAGTATGCTTAGGTAAGCCAGGATGAGCTCCTCCTGATCAGTACATCCAGTGGGATGCAGTCTGCCTGAACTGGGGAGGAACGTCTGTCTAACACCAGTGCTTGAATAATGTCCAAAATCATGAGACAGCTCTCACTCCCAGCTTGTTAGCAGGGATCTGCTTATCTTCCTGCTTTCTCTGCAGGCAGGGAGAAGGGCATGCTGTCCCTGGCTAGTATAAAAGGTACAGGAGTGCCCAGACTTTGGAGCAGAGGGCTCTCTCCTTGCTGCAGGGGTCCTTTCCTCTGGTAACACATTTCAAGAGCAGCAACAGGCTGAGAAAAGATAGCAGGAATAGTTAAAATGGCAGCTCAGATGCAGTGACCAGAATGTGCTCACTGAGCTGCTTTTAACTCAGCCTAGAGGAAATCTTCACCCAGACTCCAGCTGCAGTAAAAGCAAACCGAACCTGGGGTGAGCAGAGCCAGCAAGCAGGAGGGAACCCAAAAGACTCCCCCCACTCAGGAGAAGCCTAACTAGTAGCAGAGCCAGCAGCTAACTGCATGCAATCCCTTTCCAGCCCCTGGGCCCGGCCCCCTCCTCACGTTCAGCATGGAGGCATCCCTGCGGAACTCCATCAGGTCCTCGCTCAGCTTGCTCTGGTTCTCGTCCAGCACATCTACGAGAGATGGACAGGCCCATAGTCACTGCAGAGTCAGTGACGGCATCCAGGGGAACAGGCAGAGGACACCCGCTGCCACCTAACCTCTGAACAAGGAGGGAGGAGAACCCACTGCTGTTATCAGCAGGGAAAAGCAGGAGGGTGTCTGCTACTCAAATGCAAATTGTACTTGAATGCTGAAGACCCAACAAATTTCAGAGGCAAGACAGGGCTGGGCACAGCAACGGTGTCCAGGAACCATCCTCGCTCCAGGATGGCTGCATGGTTGGCTATTCTACTCACTGATTTTTATGGGGGCCTGTGCCCATGGAATGCACAGGAAAAAGTCACAGGAGAAAGGTGGTAGCTGCTAGCAGACATTTCTAGGAATTGCCATGTGATCAGTGACTGCAGGATTAGGTCCCATGATGTTCTGGCAGCAGAGAAATCGATGGGACCCCTATTTGTTGCTCTGCAAGGAGTATCTGAACCTCCTGAAACCTGCTCAGCACCAGTTTTAAACATGGAATGAATCCTGTAATGCACCATCCTAACAAAAAGCTGTCCTGTCCTTACAGCTCTGACCACAGATCTTGTCCAGTGCACACTCACCAAACTTGAGCTCCAGGTTCTTCTCCAGCTGGTCGATTTTCTCTGAGAGCTTCCCCAGCATGGAGCGCAGGAAGGCAATTTCCTGGTCCTTCTGGGCCATTGCCACCTGCATCTCATGGAAGCGATCATCTGTCTGCTGCAGGAATTCCTTCAGACCCTCGAACTTGCATGTCTCCAAGTGGGTCTCGTAAGTGTCTTGATTTCCTATGAATGTACACCTACAAGGGGAAGGCAGATGCTGGCTGGAGCAGGGCTCACACCGGAGACCTCCTTGCTCAGCTGGTTCCCGAGAGGGAGGTCTGAAGCCTGTGTAGGTCCCCAACTGTTCTGCTCCTCCTACCAGGAGCAGTGGTATTGTGGTTCACCATGCTACTGGGTGTAGGCAACTGCAGGGCAACATAGAGGCCAAGCAGCTGCCATTCTTCCAGGCAGGGCACTGGCCCCCAAACTGAACTGTCTGTCTCTCTGTCTGCCTAGGTAGTTGCAAGGAAAAGCAAATCTTGGGCAAGAGACAGGACGTAGTGTCAGTTCGTGTGCTCACCAGGAGCCCAACCTATGAGCCATCAAAACCAATGGAAAAAACTGCAACTGACCTCGGCAGGTGCCGACTTGGGCCTGCAGCATGGCAAGGAGTCACGGCTGCTCTGTCAGGACTTGCCTTGCTCTGCTTCTGCCAAGACATCTCTTCCTGTAACAGTAACCTGTGCATCCTGCAGGGAACCCCCAGCCCGGGCTGCACTCCTGTTCAGGTGACAATCAACCCTCCAAGGCTGATCAGCACCTCCCTTGCCCTGGGACCAGGACTGGTTTGAAAGACACTGCTACGGTGCTTGCATTACTCTTGTACTCATCCTCCTCCCTGGTGGCTCTGGCCACATGCACTGCTCTGACTCTCCTCCAGCTGGTTCTTCTGCCTACGCACCTCAGCCTCCTGCTCGGCTGCCAGCAGGGCTTACAGCTGGGCAGCATGACCTGCCCGTTCTCAACAGGAGGCCCAGGGGCTGCCTTCTGCAAGCCCTGCAAGCCTGATCTCAGTCTCAGGCCAGTGCAAAGCACTGGGCAGAGCTGCTCAGAGCCCATGGGGCTATCCCAAGGCTGCAGTAGCCAACAAGCAGCTCAGAAATGAGCTCAGTGCATCCTTGCCACTAAAAAGCACCAGCTCCTTACCCGTATTTGGAGTGGGGACATTTTATGTGCTCGCACTCTTTCAGATGTGCCTCCAGGTTCATTTTCAGGAGAGGTGGGCAGCTGGGGTTATTGGGGCAGCGAACTGGCCTGTAATCACAGCTGCTTTCATGATCTCTGCCCATGGAGAGAAGCAAAAGGAGGGAAAATCAGCGATAAGCAAAAATTAATGGAAACAACACAGATCATCAAGAAAGGAGCAAACCAGCCCTGTGAGACTGTCAGGTGATCGAAAGCCTCCTGCTCTAAGATTGCAATTACAGCTTTAAATTCTCATTTGGCCAGTAAGCTGAGAGTAATACTACGCCACATTTATGCAGTGAACATCTGCAGCTGATCGACTGAGCCTTCAGGCAGCTATCAACCACAGGCAATGGCCAGGTGATAGGGAAGACATTGCATGCACTGTTGGGGATAGGGAGAGAGATAGATTTCAGATTCCTAGGATATAACTAGGATAACTCCTCTTACAAAAAGAATTCCAAGGTCTTTGTTTGACCATAGCCACAGCGTTTCACCCCAAATGTGAGGTGGCTGTTTTCACAGTGTACTCCCTGTCGCAACGCTGAGACACTCAGGTAAGCTGGGAGCAGAGAACAGCATCCTTTCCCTGAGACCAGCCCATCTGCCATCGTCCTAAGACTGAGACATAGTGGAAAGAACTGTCCCCTCAAGTCACCCTGCCCATTCCCACACCCCTGCACGCCCCAGCACAGCACTGCTGGTGGGAGCTGCACTGTCCCCAGGAGCCACAGGGCAGCTCAGATACGACAGCAGATTGCTGGTGGTGAAACCCTTTCCCTGGAGAGGCTGCACGCTGGTAACAAGCCACTTACTTCCTGGCACTCAGTTTAATTGTAAACGGACATCCACGGGGGTCCACCTCGAAGGCAGCGGGCTTGCTGCTGGCTGCAGGCCGGCAGCCATACTTGCAGTGAATGAAGAGCTCCCCGATCTGCTCAGCCACTGCAATGTTGTTAACCACTACAGTCAGTTTGGCATTGTCCACAGGGCACTTCTCTGCCAGGTGGGGAAGCAAAAGAGAGAGAGAGTCAGAAAGGGCTGAGACACTGCAGGAGATTTTATTTTTTTGCTTTCTCTGGCCAAGATGGCCAACTCCCAGATGGGTGGCAATGGAACGAGCCATGAATATTCACACAAGGTCTGCAAGCCACTATCTCTGGTTTGTCTTGGGGCTTGGTGAAAAGTTACAGTTTATGTTAATCCACGATAATTTGAGCTAGCTGCCAATGAAAGAAGGCCACGCTAATTCAGACTACCTTGTGCTTGCTGAAGTGTGAGAGTATTCACAGGCAGTGACCACAAATCAGCAGGCGCCCCACACACAACCCGTTCCCCCACCCAGGCCTGGGGCTCAGCTCCTCTGCTGCCAGCAGGGCACTGCAGGCCAGGGATGCTGCAGCGAAGCAAAGACACGAGCTTTGAGGGCAGGAGCAAAACTGAGCAACTCAGGATTGCAACTGCAAAGCCTTTTGCTACAGATCTGTTAGTTGGGATAGATATAGCACAACATGGTGACAGAGGCTTAGCATGCAAAGAAGAGGGACCCCTCACATGTGGAAGATGAACATCTTAAGGCAGAAAGAGCTGCTGTTTTGCTGGACTCCCTAGGGAGCCTCCTCAGGGCTTGCTATTCTGGTAATACAAATGGCTTGGCTTTGTGCTGAACAACGGCTTTCCAAGAGGGGCACAAGCTCGTGCCAAATAAAGTCTTTTTCGTAGTGCAGAGTCCAAAGCAAGTGGGAGCTGGTTAGGCCAGGCCAGCAGCCAGACACTTGGGCTCCACCAGGTTTCTGGAAGAGCTGGGTGAGCTAAAGCAGCTCTGTGTCAGCGGCCAGAGAGCTGGCACTAACGGGATGGGGGAGGAGGGGTTTGATGGGTCTCTGCCAAACACGGCCCCCCTGTTCCTTAGACAGGCAGCCACAGAAAGCTTTCTGTCTGAAATCAATGGGTCAGCTCTGGGCGAGACATGTATTATCCTGGGATTATCCATTGCATATTCCAGGATTCGAGAACATCCTGTGCCCAAGAGCCGGGCCTAGCCCTCTAATGCCCATGCTACAGCGCGTACCATCAGAGCTCCGAGCTGCACAGTCACCCGTGCCCCAGCCCCTTGCTGCTGCAGTGGCAGCCTATGACTGACAGCTTGTTTTAAGCCCTTCAGACATCTTTCTGCGGGTTTCTTTTTAAGTGAAAGCAAACAAACCAAAAAATAACAGCGTTTTGGCTGCATCACACAAGAACAGTTCTGTACTCACCAGATGTTAAGGCACATCTTCTACAAAATGTGTGCTGTGGAGACAAAGAGGAACAGCAGTGTCAGCGTAAACAATATCGGACAAATTATTCCCTGTGGCTAACAATGGGAAAGGTGGGAGATACCAAAGCCTGTGGCACAGGGGCCTCAGCAGCTGTTCTGCCTGCTTTATACCTCAGCGCGCTCTTGAGTCTGCACCAGAGGGCAAAAACCAGCTGCTTGCTCAGGCAGCTAAAAGTGCAACACAGGTCCTGTTCCTGAGAAGTATTAAGCACATGGTTTGAAGCTTTGAGGGTTCTGCCCTGTTCAAGATCAGGCCATGATCACGGTGCAAGCCAAAGCCACGGACGTGTTCTGCCACGCTCTGATACTCCTATCCTCCAAGTCTGCATGGGGTTTCTCTTCTTCACCCTCCACTTACTCCGTGTCATTCCTCTCATTTCCCTGAGAAGTCCTCAAGGGGAAGAGTAAGGGGAAGTCTGGCTTGTCCCTGTCCTTGGCGAGTCAGCCCATCACATGTATCTCTCTGTAGCTCTTCTAACGTAGCTGAAGCTGTCCTGCTGGTTTGTAAGCCCATTAAATGCACTGTAAATTTTGCCACTTTAAATAGCTCTCTATCACTCTATTCTCACAGCAGAAATGTATGGTAACAATTTAACTTGATAAAGTAGCAAATTCAATCTAACATGCTAATGAATATAAAGAGAAGAACAAAGGCTGCAGCATTTTACTGGTCCTGAACTTGGCCCGTGGGTTCCCTGGAGCCTCCTCAGCCAGATTCCCCTGCCACAGGGCCAGCGCTTGGCAGCAGCGCTGGAGAGGCTGCAAGTCACTCTTCAGAGCTGTTATCTGCTGCCCTGCTCACGCAGCCTTTTCCTGCCCCGCACAGCTGCATGGTGCTCTCTCCAGAGCTGCCAAACCAGGACTGCAAATGAAGCCAGTCTGCTTCCTGCAGCAGATTTTTTTTTTTCTATATATTAACCAGTAAATCTCAGTGTGTCCATGAAGAGCTGCATACTGAAATGGTGCAGCGAAACTGCACCAACTTCCAACACCTTTGGGGATAGCACCCTCACTGCAATAAACAATCCTGCTCTCTGCTTTTGTTGCTACAGCTCCATCCTAGCAATCAGAAGCACGCCAGAAGCCTTAGAGAGCCTATCACAAAGCCATCTTTCTTCACATGGAGCACAGAAGCAGGAATAATATACAGTTTCTATTAAATCCCAGTAAAATGCAATACAGAAGAATATTCATAATACTCTGTGCCTTTCATTAGAGGATCTCAAATCCCTTTGCAAGCATTAACTAAATGAAGCTTCAAGCCATTCTTGTTTTATAAGAAACACTTTCTTCACAACTGAAGAGCAGCCGTTCCCAAGGTGCCCAGGAGGCAGCAGCACTCTGCAGAGCCCTTCAGGACAGGGAATGAGGAGTTTTAGACCTCACTGAAGCCACACCAAGGAGACTGAATGTGGCCAGGATAGGGAGGCTGACAGTACAGATCTCCTGGGAAAAGCAGCCCAATTTTAAGCAACTCCCACGCTTCTCCAGCTAACTGTAGAGTGCCCTGCACACCCCATTGCAGACTGGTTCAGAGCTGCCTTGTGGGGAAATCTAACGCATGTCCATCAGCATCTCTGCTCCTATACTGGCCTGACTTCCCTGGTCAGGGGCTGCCTCGTCTTTGCTCACTCAGGTTGACAGTCAGGGCTTCGCTATAGGTCACATAGGACATCTATGGAGCCCACGCTCATGATTTGGAAGAGTACTGCCTTACCCCACAGGTTGTGATGACTGGATCCTTAAACACACTACAGCACAGTTGGCAGCACAGCTTCACAGATGGTTGTTCAGCAAACACCAGTGGCTCCTGAAGAGGAGGAGAGAAAGGGACACAGAGAGCACAAGGATTAGTCCAAACGCAAGAGCCTCCAACTCTGCAGAAGGAACAAAACAACTCTTCAGTGGTGAGCCTTGGGGAGCCTGGGGCACAGGGCACGCTAATTATCTCATTATCTCAAAACAAACTTTTGTCTGGATCTGCTGACCTCCAGTATGTAAGAGGTAGAGGAAGAACGATGTTGGGAATGGCTGGAGACCCTTAGCTCATCACAAACTGGGGGCCACCAGCATGTGGATCAGGACCAAGAGCAAACTGCACAGACCAACTTCTTTGCCAGAGTGACTCGAGTCACCAGAACTGCGTGAGCTGCACTGTCTGGTGCTTTTTGCTTGGTTGGACTGAACAGTGTTGTCAAAAATGTCCCCCGTACTAGCCTGAAGTTTAAAAGCAATTTTAAAACAGCTCGCACTTTTGTATTATTGAAACATCCTGAAGGAAGGGCTCTTTCATTCCCTCATGAAGCAGAAACAACATTGTTTCTGCCGCAGTGGGCCCATCTCTCCAGTTTTGTTTACCAACTAAGCCTGCTGGAGCGCGGGCTCTGAGCACGTCCTCCTGGAGCAGCACAGCTCTCCACTCCACGCCAAAGCAGGGCTTCACATTTCAGAGCATTTCAAATCAGTCACCGCAGTTCGGTCTGTCTTTTCATCTTGTGCTGCTCTCAGAACTGCAAACACAACCCCCTGGGTTCCTAAATGTGAAACGCACACTTTTATCCCAGATCTGTGGCAAAATGCCGCCTGACCTTTTATGCATCCAGTCTGGGGTTAGTTACTGGGTCACAAGCTAAGCTCAGCTTAAAAGTGTCCTCCCCCAACAAAAGTGCCATGTGGACAATTCCCCACCCTCCTAGGGCTTACAGTCAAGTCAGTGGGGTGCCATGCAGCCCTAAATGCAGGATGGGGCTCAGAATCAGTGGGGAATTGTATTAGTCTTGCTGCCTGGGGCTAGACCACCAGCCTAAAGACTTGCAACCCCCTGCTGCTCTGCAGCAGAACCAGGGAATCACACATGACTTTGCAAAGACTTACAGTTTTTCTCAGAAGCAGAAAAGTCTCACCATTGTCCCCTCTTTACGTATGGGGAAATGCACACAAGGAAGCAAAGTAACTTGCAGAAGTCAGCGGTGGAAACAAAATCAAAACCCGGAGTCCTGACAGCCAGGCTTTTAGTTGCCAGACATCATGAAAATCTGCCCATGATAGCTCTATGTACTCACAAGAGTCCACCAAGTTACTCTTTTGACACTGAACTTCCTAATACTGCTCCTTCAGACAATCCCAAATACCTACTGGCTCCTCCTCTTCCTCATGGAGTGAGAACGTTGAGCGCAAGGACATGTTGGACTCAGAGTGCAATGAACGGACGGAGATAGCAGAGTCAGAGCGGCGTGGGGTGCTGATCGGAGGCTTCAAAGAGATAAAAACCAGTTCTTGTTATTGCAAATAATTCTCCCTGCTCCAAAACCCTATGCAGAGTCTTCAAGTGCAGTTCCCCCCCTCCACAAAACTCAGCTGCTCCATTTGTTCATCCACTCTGCCAAGCTGCATTGAGTGGCCCCCAGAAGTAGCATGCCTCGCTGCTCTGTGTCCTTCCTGGCAGCCGCGAACACTGCACCATGCTCAGAGTCAGGACAGGCATCATTCAGGTTTAACTTACTAAACCAAGCTGACATCTAAATTCCAAGCACGTAACTTTCTCAAAGGTGCATTCATTTGTATACTTACCGTGCGCACCCGCAAAGCAATGGTTTGGAAGAATTAATCCTTCACAGAAAGCTTTGTAAATCTCCCCAAGAGACAGCTACCAGCTTCTGCAATTTCTATAATCTCAGCAGCAGCACTTGTTGTTTCACTCGCTATCTAACTTCTGCCAAATTTCTTTGCGTAAGTGTGGAGACTTCCTTCTATTCAATTCAGTAACAGACTGGCTTTGTCGCTTCCTGCTCGGGAGGGGAGAGCTAAGTGGACATCGCATGCACCAATCAAGAAAAATCCCACTGGTTACGGTGGCCTTGGGATTGGCTTTGAGGGAATGCTGCCGCTGGAATATTAACCAGCAGTGCATCTCTAAGGGTGGAATATCAACCAGCAGTGCGTAGCCAAGTTGCAATTCAGCGTCAAAGTGAAACCGGAGACTCTTCAGACCACGGGGTGATTGGATTTGGGGGTCTAGAACAGCCGGTAGTGCAGCCGCTGCTGGGTTACTCTGGAAGAGATGCTGCTGGCAGACTGGGAAGAGTGCAGAGCAGCAATAAAAGTTTTCAAGGAGCAGAACAGACAGGCTGACAAAGAAATGGCAGAATGAAGCCATAAGCTTCAGATGCTTGGCATCAAGAGATGACCAATGCCCAGGCTGCCTGCACCTGCATGTATCACACCTAGACGTGGCTTGACTGTAGCCTACATCAGTCGCAAACTCCTAGAAGTGCTGGCTGCAAGGAGCTCTGGAGATCGCTGGCCCTGCTGCCCGCTTGAAGAGGGACTCTCCCTGGCCCTGGATCAGGTCAGCCCTGGCACTGCCCAGCTGGAACGGGGAAAGCTGCACAGATGAGACTCCGCCGCCCTGGATTCCTGTCCTGCACTACCTTGTAAGCAAAATGTTTTTTCCTCACGTTCAATCTGAACCTCCCAAGCTGCATTTTGTGTGCTTGCCCTGGGTGAAATGTATGACACCAGACCCACGGACAGACAAAAGCAGCATAAGAGGCCAGTGGGGCAGTCAGGAAATTCAGCAATGAAAAATGTAAGATGAGCTTCAGAGACTGCTGTCTTCCCCAGAGACAGACTATACTGCAGCCTGAGTGCAGTCCTTGCTGGGCTGCAGAAGAGGAGCACACCAGGATCCTGCTGGTTCTTCACACTGCTCTGCTTCTTAATTTTTATGATACCGGGATCCTAGGAGCTCAGAAATGCTGCATCTGCTTAGAAGCCAAAGCATAAAGCTCTTTTTCTTAAAGAAGGCATATTTATTGGCTAAATATGTAAACCTTGAGGAGGAATGGTTATAATGAGGTAAATCAATTTTATGTGTATCCATTAATTTTATTATTTTCCTCCACTAGTAACAGAAGTTATTAAAATAACAAGAATGACTGTGCATAGTTCCCATTCTGGAGGTGACACGGAGATCAGGGCAGCAAAGGCAGGCTCTGCAGGGAGGCAGTTTTATCAAAAGCAACATCCTCTGTGGATCACAGATGGAGAGGAGGGGGACTGCAGCCCAAGAGCTCTTTCAGGAGGCAGGGGTATGAGACACAGTCTTGCTAGGCTTGTGCAACACTGCGGGCTCAGTTCCCTGTGTCCCGGCTGGGCCAATGCTGGTGTAAATTACGCAGGAGGGAAGCTGATGTGCTGAGAAAGGTCATTCCACTTGGGCTGTAGTGACAACGCTGAAGGCAGAGGTGTGCACTGGCATTTACTGCCCCTCTAGGTATCTGCAGCCTTTGTTTTTGCCAAGCAAACAAGGCTAAGACGCGAGAGACCTCAGCCCTACGGGGTTCGTCACTGCACTGCTTCCCACTCCTAGCCTAGCTATTTAGACTGAGCTTTGCAGCACTAGTCGTGTGTAGAGCAGCCAGCACAAGGGGACTGACTGCAGGGTGCTCTTGCACTGCAAACAATAACAGAGCGTGAGGACCACAGGACACCCACCCTAGGGGCATCTGCACGAAAGCCAAGGAGTGCCAGGCCCTGCCACAGGGGCAAGGTGGCACAAGTGGCACTGCTTCGGGCAGGCTTGGATTTGGGAGGATCTGTCAGAAAGGTCCCACCTCCCCACAGCTGCTCCAGGGCTATTTCTGCACTAAACATCAAGTCCATCCTCAAACAGCCCAAGGATGGAGTGCTCAAACATCTTTTGATGGAAGATGGATAGCTTATGGCTGGCTAGTACCCCACTCCAGCCTCTGGTTCAGGGGTGAAGCTCCCTGTAAACAACTGAGACTTTGGACAGCCAGTCCAAAGCCCTTCTTCCATTAGTATACATTTGCCCCAATATTCAGCTGTAATCTTTAGGTGCAGTTCCCATCATGTCAGCTACAAAAGCAGCCTCTGTGTGAAGACTCTAGTACAGTCCTTGTTCCTGCTCCCTGTAGGCATAGCAAAGCTGGGAACCCGTAGCACTGTTTTCAGGAAAGATGACAGCAGCCGGCTCAATAATCCCTGCCTTGCACGCAAAACACGCTGCTCTGCTTTTGGTTTCATTAACAGAAGCTTTAAAAAGAAAGAAAAAGGGGTGGTGGAGGTCACAGGAGGGCTCTGACTTGTCTCCAGCTGTCTCTCTGATGGCTGACAAGCCCTTGGCAGCTTCTGGAGAAGGGAAAACTTAGCGATGAGGAATGGAAATCCCAGATTATTTCTTGACAAAGCAAAGGAAGCTTCCTAAAAGGGTTAGTGAGAGTTTGTCTGGAGCAGCAGGCAGAGCAGGGCTGTGGCGCTTCTGGTTTGTTAGCACCTAGGGCTGCAGGCTGCTTCCTGAACTGCTCATTAATTCTCTTGCTATTTTTGGTTAAGAATATTTAGCACTCCAGGGAAGATGGGCTGAGACTGGCCAAGAGGACTGAGGCTAGGTTCTAGGAGAGATCTCTCCTATTCTTAGCTGCACACCTCAGTTTGCCACACCGTAGTTTTCAAAGGAGTCAGGGAGCTTCTCCATCAGACGTGGCTAAATGTAACATCCCCAGCACCGCCTGCTCCGCTGGAAAAATCCTCACCTGTACTCTGCGAGAACTACACAGCTTGTGAAAAGGGAAACATGAAGAGCACAGCACTCAGCCCACGGGATCAGCGCTGACAGCCAAGGGCTTCCTGGAACAGTGGCCCAGCACCATGGATGTGATGGAGAGTTGCATTTGCCAAGGACACGAGGCAAATGTTCAAAGGACTTTTTGAAAAAACAAACACACGCTCAAATAAAACACAGCAAGATCTCTGAGCAACAGAAGGAACTTTATAGGATGCTGACAATAAAGCTCTTTGCAATCTGGTGTCAAATTTATTTTAAGAAGTGGTGTAGCTCCATACTGTTGCCGACCCCACTCTCTGCCAGTGCCTAACTTCAGCAGCAGTAGTGATCCATTTATCCCTGGCTTGGAAGCTGAGTCTTGTAACCTGACAAAGTCTACAATGACTTACTTAATTTGAAGAGTCTACTACTCACATGCTTAAATCTAAATAGGAGCTTGTGATTATGAGATGTGGCTGGAGCACTAGGGATAGAAGAAGATCAAGGCCACAGAGCTATCTCCATTCACTGAGGTTTGCTTTGCTGTTGCTGTTCTTGATTTGATTGATTTAGCTGATTTAATTTCTCTTTAAGCAGCTAACCCTGAGGCTTGTTGGATCACTAAATTCCCCAAAAAAGTTAGTCAGAAGTGATGAATGAGAAAGCTGGGTACAAAATTAGGAAGTGCTTTTCTGCAAAGATATTGCGAGACATGGGAATGGTTTGTGTGAGAAGACCCTGATGATGTAATCCCCAGGAGCCGAGCATAGTCTGTGGTGTCCGGCATCCCACTCCGCACGTTTCAAACGTGCGCCCTGCGGTCAGAAGCCCCATCTGGAGGTGGAAAGAGGAATGGATTTTCTGGTCATAACTGCAGGGCCGGCTGTGCTGCTGGATGGTCCATCCAACACGCCCTGATCGAGACTGGCCTCAGCCACAGCCCCAGACATCGCTGACAGTAGCTCTCTTTTCTCCCGAGCTCAGGAGACCCAGAGCACACTGCTCACATCAGAAGGCAGGTACACCCTCACAAGTAGGCCTGCGGGATTTGTAGCTCCTGGGCTTTGTAACCACATAATATTTTGAAGCAGTCTGAAAATGAGCACCAGCAGTACCAGCCTAATGCCCCAGGTCAGAAGCAGCCTGTGCTTCCCCACTGCATCAACCCTGGGAGCAGCCAGGAAATGCTGAGGCTGGTCCTGCCTCTGGTGCAGACATCTGCATGGGAATGAGGAGGGAGGCAGAGAAGTCCAGAGGAGAACCAGACGTCTCTCATTTGACATATAATCAGCTAAGCCAGTCAGCAAAGGGGCTCCTGGCAACACCTACCATGCCATCGTCCTCATCTCGTGGGGAGTAGGTGAGTGTGCTGGAGGAGGATGGGGTCCGACGATGCTGTTTAAAAGTATTGGTCCCGTCAGCTTTAAAGCAAATTAAAAAAAAAAAAAAAAAAAAAAAAGCAAGCATTTAGGCTCCTCAGTAACATTTCTGAGCTACAGGTCAGTCTTTGTAGCTGTAAGTGTTCCTTGAAAAAGGAAAAGACTAGGGATTTCCCAACTCCAGTTCTTGACCTGGACATATCAGTGCAGGCAGAACAATCCTGATCTCTGATAGCTTGCTGAAATGCATGCAGCCCTTTGAAGGCAGCTTGCCCAGAAAAGAGCACAGATAATATTCTACCAGGTCCATAGGTTAAAAATACTATTAAAAGGAAACCTTATACTCCTACATATTTCAGTCACTGACAAAAATTACTTCGATCCAGGGAGGTCTGGATATTCTTGTAGCACAAGGGAAACGTGCTAAATTAAACTGGAGATATTTGCATAAAGATCATATTACTGACTTATATAAAATTTTGAATGTAAATATTCAAGAGTCCAAAAACATCTAGAGTCCAGAGTCCTGTACAAATGTAATCTAAACATTTCCCCCAGGCAGATGTTCATTTCCTTATCTAAATCAGTGTCAAGTGCCACAGTTTATCTTTACTAAAGTAAGGATATTTTTATTCCAAAATGAAACCAGACCTCTTCCTACATTCATACCACATGTCAGAGCTCAGACTCCTCACCTGCTGGGCTTTGAGGAACAAAGCACAAGAATTTTAAATGAGCAGGTACACTTGCACCCCCTCTTGTATGAGTTAAAAAAGGCTGGGGTTTTACCAAAGTGTCCAGAGTGACTCGCAGTCAGGCAGAGAGTGAAAATGGGAATTTTCAGTGCTAGTAATGATTGTGTGAGAAGTCACAGAGCTAAATAAGATTTCGGAGTAAGCTCTGTATCAAACCCCTATCCTAATTTCAGGAAGGGCTTCCCAGTGGTACTGTTAAGTCTGCCTAATGCGAGAAAACTTCTGCGCATGCTCATTTCCATCACGCCTGGTAATCAGATGCCATGATGAAATAACACTTGGGCTGCATAATACTAAAAACAGCACCTCAGCACCTATCTGTAATGAACACAGTGATTCTCCCAACAGCTTTATGATCTGTAGAACAACAACAACAACAAAAAAATGGTAGGAATCACACATAGTGCTTTGGGGAGCAGCTCTATGCATGAAATACACTCACCCTTTGTGATGGTTGTCACAGCAGAGTAGGCTGGCCCAAAAGTTGTTTCCATTCTTGTCTGAAATATTGACAAAATGAAGGTCAGTGTGTATCAAACAAGCCCAAAGGCTTGCTACCTTTCCTCAACTGGTGAAACAAATGTACATATATATTCCCAACTTTTATCTGTGGATATTGTGATTTTTAAGAGGCAAGAAAGTACCATATTTTCAAAAGCCATCTTCATTTTCTCAAAAGAAAGGATGAGAACATAAGAAGCAGCCCTAGCCCCTATCCTTTGCCAAGAACACCGAACCTTACCCCGTTAGTGTTTTCGGAAGTAGTGATGTTTGTTGTGCCACTGGAGAAACGATTGTAGCGAGCGTTCTTGTTTGAGCTCATAATCTAGGCCAGCATTTGTTAGTCATGGGAAGTTTGCTCTGTGGAAGAAGAAAGACAGAAGGAGAGTTAGGTTCATTGTACATATTTTCCTGGGCTCAGAGAACAATCTCCTGTAACATTAAGTCCAAGTATTTACCTAAGCTCACATAAACCTGGATTTTCAGAAGCAAGTGGCAAGGTCAAAGTCAGGTTCCTTCCAATCATTCCTGCATGAGTGTTCAGCATTTTCTAAAGATACGGTATCTTTTAAAATAACTCCTTAATCACCCAAATACTGGAATACCCATAATCATTAGCTGCTTTTACAGGTATAGAACTGTTTTAATAGAAGATAAGACTTCTCAGGAGACTCCTCTAAGACAGACAGCATTCCATTGGTCACGATACACATCAATCTTCTAAAAATGAGAGTATGTACCAGTTGTGACTGACAGTCCCAGCAGAGAAGAGCCCTACGCAGGATCTGTATCTAGTCCTCTCTCCCTCCCCTGTTTGAGCGTAGTTCAGAAAGCAGGTTACCTGCTGCTTCCCAACACACTTTGCACAGAGCAGTGTTTAGTAAGCAGGGTCGTAAAAGGGAGCCCCCTCCACAAGACACAGCAATGGCGAGCACAGAGCAGACTGTACCATGGCAGGCCGAGGGATTTTGGCAGAGGCCACAGACACAAGCCTGATCTTTCAGCCTGACGGGGAATTGCGAGTGCATGGAGGGCAGAAGAGGTCTCTGGATGTAAAGCTATACCAGTAAAACCCTTATCCCATTAACTGTGAGGCTCTAGCTGAGCTGGCCTGGACTGCAGAGCCTAGGGAGCTTGTTCACTCACAGCTTTGTGGCTCAGGCCACTTTCCGAGCACACCTTCCCATTCAGTCACCCGGGGCTTTGCTTTAGCACAAGGGGTTGTGACTGCCTGCCTTCCTCCAGGACCACCCACCCCCAGACGAAGGAAGAGGTGCCCTAGAAGCTCATCAGCCCCACATCCTTGTCAGCTGGGGTGGCAGAAAGGGATCCCTCCAAGGGAGCCCCTTTCCTGGGCAGGCTGTGCCATGCTTTCTGCACTTCCAGCCAAGGAAACCAAAGCCCAAACTTCCCTGCACCCCCAGAACTTACGGCTGCCTCATATTCAAAAGTGTGATTAGCACAGACCTCGTCCTGTTCTTGTGATGAACTCAGTGAGAGCTTTGCTATTTAATTCAAAAGCCCTGGGCTGTACTGCTGAACACAACAGCCAGGGCTAGATCTCAGCAGAAAGCAAAAATCCCACGTTTGATTTAGTTATATTTGCATTAAAGGAGTTATTTCCAGCACAGTCTGAGCTACGAGGACAAAGAAACCATGAGAGAAACCTCACTTCAAGTAACATGTTTGTGATTCTGGACCTCACTCCCAGTTTCTGCTCAGAAACAACCAGCAAAGTCTGGATCATCACCCAGAAAGAGAAAGCCTTTCCCCTCAGAAGTCAGCAGAGGGGCTCATTTATCTTCCTCCGTTGTTTATACAGTTTTTCTACTAGGTTCAAGTTTGCAAATTCAAGTATTACACAATAATAATCTGCAGAAACACATGGCGTTTGCTTTCTTTAACCTCTGTTGAAACCTGATGCTGGCTTCAGAGCACAAAATATGCTGTTGTCCCAGCAAATCTGACAAGATGCTCTTAAAGAGTCTCCTTTGGAGCCAGAGTACCCATAAGAAGGAGCTGCACCTCCTCTCTGCCATCATACGGAGATGCTTCTGGCTTGAGCAGAAGTTTCCATCAGAGGAGACAAGGGGTCAGCAGGGCACTGAGCTCTCCTCCCAACTTGCCCCTTCATCCTTGCAGCTGAAAGGTACTGCTTGCACTCGCAGGCTGTCCCACCCCGCCCAAGGAGACAGGGACCCTGCGCTCCAGGAATAAGCTGCTCAGGAAGGATCCTGATTAAGAGACCCCTTTCTGTCCAAGGTATAGTTAAATCTTAGACCTCTCACTGCCAGCAGCAGAGTCCAAGGGCTAAACAGACAGATCAGACAGACATATGCAGTGAGGACAGACAGGCCACAAATGGTTTACTAAGACACAACCAAAATCCTTTTTTGCCGGGCAAGAGCCAACCACCAGCGAAGGGCGCCTCGGAGGAAACACCCCGCAGATGCCTGCAATCGGCCGACGCAGAGCTCCCGGTCCCTTTCAGACGTGCCTGCTTCTGGCCCTGGCTGAGACGGCACCGCTCTGGCCAGGCTTTCACACTCCTGCTGCTCACATTTCCAACTTTTCGGGAGCTGAAGTGTCTTGGGTGTTTCTAGCAATTGGTTTTCCCTTATCTGAAGGTGACAAGTCCTAAATCTCCAACGTCTTTATAAAGGAGACCACTGTGATTTCTCTGCTTTACAGAACGGGAAACGGAGGGTCACAGAGGGACACGATCACACAGCGTAGCTGTGACCTGGGACTTGCCCAGGGCCTCCTTAGTCCCAGCCCAAGAGCATACCCACCTCCCCTGCGAGCCCCAGCACGAGGCTGCCTGCACACAGGGCCAGTCGCGCCCTGCACTCACATTTTAAACATTGCAAAGGCGACGCTCAGGGTGTCCTTGGCCAATGCTCTGCTAACGGCCGACAGCTCAGCCACGCCTGACACAGCACTTTGTGCTCACTGCAGTTCTTTATCGGGCAACTCAGGCAGCCAGATTACAGCAGCAGCACAGCCCAGGGAATCACTACTCAGGTCTAAATTCTCGAAAAAAGTTACAGTCTAAAACGAAAAAACAAAACCCCAACCAAAAACCAACCAAACAAAAACCTCAAAACCAAACCCAAGACCATCTTAGAAATAGGGATCTGGATAATGTTTTCCACACATTTGAAAGCACTGTCCTGGCCGTTTGCAAATGCCAGATCCCTTAGGAGATGCTAAGCAGAGTTGCTGGAGTCGTCTCAAGAACAGCAGGGCTGCTGCATCATGGAGACCTGCCGAGTTTAAAGCTGGGTTCCAGCAAGCAAGAAGTTTGGCATTGGCCATCAGGATCCTTTTATTCCTTTCAGTGGTTCCTTAGAGCACAGATAGCAGAAGGCACAGGGAGAATGGGTGGTGGGGAAGAGGGCAGACAAAGCTTTTGGTTAACACACTGGCGATGGCCCCACGAGATCTGAACCCCACTCAGCCCCTCACTCCCTCGCAGCCTTGGGCAAGCCACTGCAGCTCTCTGCTTCCTCCCTGCACAAGTCTCTTTAGTTTACCTCTTCCGCACAGCGTATCTGGACTACAAAGCCTGAAGATGAAAGAATCCTTGGATATTTGTGCAGCGTCTAGCACAAAAAGGTCTCCACCTTAGCTGGGGCCTCCAGATGATGCAGTCCTCATAACTAATGTAAAGCAAGTACTTCCATGAGTGATGACACAAACTGCCACATTTCCTGTGATTTCATGTCTCAAGGTTGCATTATCTCCTGTCTAATAACATGCATGTATCCCTACAGTTCCCCTCCTATATAGAGTGCCTATGTCTAACGATACAGCTACACTCACCAATCTCCTCTGGAGAAGGGATTCAGCACCCTCCTCCTCCCAAGGTAGAAATAGAGGAACTTGCTTTTCAGAAGGGCTATGAATTAACGATTCCTTCTTCAGAGAACCTCAGCAGCATCTACCCTAACACCCTCTATCCTGCACTACTCGCAAAGGAAGAGCAGGGGTATGGTCCCACCTTACTAGTCATGACAGCATTAAAGGAACCTGGCATATCAAATATTCCTACTGGGTTTTTAAGGCAAACAATCACTCCCAGATGGAAAGAGAGGAAGCCCATCCTTATGGAGGATTGTGGGCTGTCTGAAGACTCAGGCAAAAGCTTCATCCCCTTCTCATTTTCAGGGTATGTATTGCCTTCAAACATAACAGATGGAGACTCAAAAAAACCAATGAGAAAGCACTCACTGTGGAGCACAAAGAGAAGGAAAAACCAAGAATGAGGACAATTAACAGTTTGAGTAGTTTTGCAATATCATTAGGATCAGACGTGCAACAAACAGTGATATACAGGCACTTGAGCTACTGCAATCAGTGACTTATGGCCTGTCAGCCAAGGATGAGTATGACCCTTTAAATAACTGCCTTTGAAACTTCTGTGCAGGCTAGGAGTGTCCGCCGTGGTGCGGCTCACAGGGTAACCCAGGAGGCCACAGAACTGCTTACTGCTCAGAGGCATTAAGGAGGCACATCTCCAATTTAAACCTGTCCCAAAGCCCCACTGAAATGGATGCAAAGTGCCTTCCAAATTCAACAGATCTTGGATAAATCCGAAGCGAGGAAGGGAACATGGGCTGTAATACAGGGATTTTCCACTCATTGTTTATAAGCATGTCCTGCGTTCTGCAGCTTGGCTGAGCAACCTACCTGCAAGCAACAGCAAGGAGCCTGCTTCGTGTCTTCTCTGAACAGAAACCAGAGGAATGCAAGCAATGGAAAAAATGTTGAGTGGAATATCAGCCAGGCTGCAGAACACCAGCCGCCACATGAATATCTGATTTCAGCCCAAATCTCTGCAACCACCATATATAGGAAGCATTTCAACAGAGCAGACATCTCTCCAGAGCACCGTCTGACAGCTCCTTCACATCTCAAGCTCTCTTCCAAGAGGTACTGAGAAAGGCCTTTTCCAACTGTTATCAAAGAAGTTAAAAGGAGGCAGAAAAGAGCTGGTGGTGTTGACATTAATACCAGCTTCCTACAGCACTTGCAAAAATCTCCACCAGATCTCTGAACCTTGGCTTGGCACCTGAACCCTGTCAGCTACGCCATCCTGTGCTTCCAGACCCGGAGGACAAGCATCCTTCCTGGGTGGCTGGTGTCCCTTCCTGGGGCACCCTGCACCGGCCACGGGCAGCTCCTGCCCCTGCTCCGACTGCAGGCAGAGCTCCTTGGCAGAGGAGCAGAACCACATCCTGAGGAGATACAGACTATGACACAGTGAAAGTATCAAACATTTTGGGTAACAAAACACGTGCACTCTGTGACCTAGAAGAAAAACTAAGATTTACTGGAAATCGCAGAATCCTTTGGGCTGC